TTCTCAAAGCCACATAAACCATATTATATCAACAGACAAAAAATAAAACGAAATATTAAAAGAAAAATGTATCTTTCTGCATTGCGCGAGTACAATTCTAGTGTCTTCATGGTATGTATCGTTCATTGTATTTTTGGAGTTTAAAAGTCTTGTAATTAGTTATTGACTTTTTGTTACACTTTATTAGACTAAAAGGGTATTTTGGTCTCTCTATATTGAAAGGGATTATTCGTTTGTTGATTAGTTTGTAATCAGTCAAGATTTAGTTAGCCGGGGTATCACTTTTGTACAAACATAATAGGGTTGTACAATTTGCGATTACTCAATTTCCGATTCAGAAACATTACCAAAGTCTTCCAATGGAGCTGAGATTATCTTAGATAAGTTTGTCTTTCACTAGTAAATGGAAGATTTTTCTCTATTTTTCCTTGGGAAATCCGTCGTTAAAGCGGTGATTCGTCACAAAACCGTGACAAAAGTTGGAGGATAAATTGGTGGCGGGAAACTTAAATCAGTGACAAATTACTCAAGTATTTTCTAGTTGATCCATCGGTAATCATCGACGGAATTTCTCCCGAGTGATTTTTTTATGGGTAAAAGTTACTTGTTTTGTAGTGTTTGGACAATGTTGTATTTTAGATTTTTGTCACTAGTTAAATAATAAATAATGGGATATAAAAGACAATTTATCAATATATTAAATTAATATATTCGCTATATTGTTATAAATCAATCATTTTATTTTATAAGAAGTAAAAATAACTATGTAAAATTCTTAAAATAAAAAATGGATTAACAACGTTCTACTTTGATGTTTGTTAAAGCATTCTAATTCAAAATACTGATTAGTTGTTTTCTGCAACCTTAAAAACTAGGATTAGATTGTTAAAACCAGTTATCTAGAATATGTTATACAAACTTTTAATGAACAGTTATCTTGTATTATAAGCATCTCTTACGTTAAAAATGTAATTATTCGAAACATTAATGTTATATCATTGTTGAATCATCTAATTCATTCCAACCTAGTTGTCACCATCAATGTGGGACTAGAGAAAATGACTGATCATGTGTAACACACGATGCTATCGTAAAATAAAATTGTTCATCATATATACTGTTTGATAATTTATTGTTTGAATTTAAATTTTTCACAGCTAACTATTTAATGTAATTACAATAAAACGTTATTGATTATGTTAAGGAAATATGATTTCGAATACATCGATTCTTTATGCAAAAGATTCCCATCCTAAACTTTATACATCATATTATATGTACTGAATATTTGTTACTGAAATTTATGTTTACACACACACATATATATATATATATATATGACACACACACACACATATATATATATATGTATGTGTATATATATATATATATATATATATATATATATATATATATATATATTATTGTGAGATACAGAAGTTGCCACCAACAACATCCAAGCAAACAAGGAAAGGTGTCAAAGATTACAACTTTCAAAGTTAATATTAAAATTAGCCCTAAAAGAAAAGGGCACAAGTCCTGATTCTACTTGCCTTTAAAGTTCAGATGTTTATAAAATATACCACTTTTGTCACATACTTCCCCCTTGAAATACCGTAAATACCCTTGAGACTTTCACATCTTTACAAGTGTCTAAACTCTAAAGAACCAAAAACCCTTCAACCTCCATGCACCAACAAGAGCAAAATAGTCCGTAGTGATTATTGATTACTTCAAATCATTCCCATTACTCATGATATTGATTTAAGTTGACGTCAATGAAGCTAGAATATGGTGTATAACTGTATATGTAGTATTTGCCATATATGGAAAGGAAGGGCAAATTTGGTATTTCACTTTGGTGTTGGTAAGATTAAGATAGATCAATGACTTAAGCAAATAGCCTTGGTATATATTTATACCATTATTAAGTTGTATGTATAAATCTTTTTGAAAATATGTATATATGGAAATATATACTGATTAAAAAAAACTAGAATTTAGGGTTTCTTTCTATTTGAAATTAGAAGGTCTAAATACCGAACTCACCCCTTGGGGATATAACCACAAGAAGTATACAAGAATCAAAAGCCCTTTCAAACTCTTGACATCACCAAGGGTAAAATTGGTATCGGACTAAGATGTTATTTCCATCAAGATTGTCCCCGTGATCCATAAGGGTGCGTTTGGTTTGCAGGAATGTTTACGAGGGATTTGGATTCCCATGAAGGATTTGGATTCCATGGGATTTGGMTTCTCAGGATTTAAAATCCATTCMTGTGTTTGGTTTGCAGGATTTGGATTTGGATAAGCATCATCCATAAGCACACCAAGAAACAGATMTTCATTGAAGGGTGAACTAGGGTATATAGTGAAGACAACTAAAGTATTACGCAATCATCGAACTGTATGTATGGCAAAGTTATCACCACCATTACACTAGAATTTTCAACCTAATCTGCCAAAAGTGAAGGATAAACCCTAATATGTGTTCAAAGTTTAGACATAAATCGAAAAGGGGAAAAGGGGAAAAACTTGTTGAGTGATGGGAGAAGGCGGTTTATCGGCGAGGACCACAGTGGGAGACGGCGACGAAGACGGTGGGCAACGGAGACGGTGGGCGACGGACGACGGTGGGCGACGGACGACGGTGAGCAATCAATGGAGGAGCGACGACCGCTGTGGGAGAAGATGGAGACGAGATCGACGACCGACGGAGACGAGATCGACCACCGATGGAGACGAGATCGACCACCGACAGAGACGATGATCGACGACCGCAATCAATGGAGGAGCGATAAGCTGTGGGAGACGAGAATATGGAGAAGATGAAATCCCACGGGGATGGGATTTTGAAATCCCATGTATTTTGAAAGGATTTTGAAATCCATAGTTCACGGGATTTTAGATGATTCCTTGGATTTGAAATCCTACCATTCCAACAAACCAAACACAGGATTGGAATGGATTTCAAATCCAAATCCCTCCAAATCCATTCCAATCATGCAAACCAAACGCACCCTAAGAGTTTTAAATGAAAGAAAAGCAATGATTTGAAGGAGGAATAGAACAGATTAGGGTTGAGGGGTTTGCTTCAATTAAAAAAAGTTATTAATGTCCAACTACCCAAACTACCCCCAATATTTTTACCTAGAAACAAGTGTTAAACCCTTCAACCACCATACACTAACCAGGGTTAAATTGGTATTTTACTTGGGTTTTGCCCATATAAGAAAGACCCATGAACCATAAAGTTTCAATTTCCTAAAAAACAATGATTGGCACCAGGAGGATTAGAACAGTATAGGGTTGATGGGTTGCTTCAATCAAAATCCAAAAGTTAATAGTATAAACTACCCAAACTGCCCCTAAGATTTGATCAAGAAACAAGTGTAAAACAACCAAAAAGGCAAAAATCCCTCAACCACCATGCACCAACAAGGGCAAAAATTGACCTTTTACTAGGATGTGGTTAAGATCAAGAAAGACACATGACCCAAAATAGTCTTAAATCGTAAAAGGGAATACTTAATCTCCTTCAAATGACATGTCTTAATTTGATGTTAAACACCTTACCTACGGTGTTAAATACATGTTACATCCTAAAATCTTGAAAAAAAAAGCTAAATTATTAGTTTTAAACGTTAACTTTTATACAAAACGTTATTTATACAAAATAGCTGAAACGACAAAGGGTCTCCTTCGATTATTAACGGTACCAATCGAGATTTTGATTGTGAGTTGAAATATTTTTGAAAACATTTGAAAAAATGGGAAAAGGCAATGATGGGGAGGAAGACACTTAAGATAGATTAGGGTTTGTGGGGTTTGCTTCAATGAAAATTCAAAGATGTAAACGCCAACCACCATAATTAATTTGTTAGCAAGGCAAGTGTGTGTGTGTGTCTGTGCTGCCATGCACATAACTTCACTGCAAAAGAAAAGAAGGGACCAAACCCTTCATTAATGAATCAAAACAAAAATCGATCAATTATATATATATATATATATATATATATATATATATTCACTTCAATTGTATCTCTATGACATAGCTTTGACTTGGTCAACCGATTTCATAACTTCACCCACCAAAACTCATAAACAGATTAACTAACCAACATCATATTTTAAATGTATTGAATAATTTAAAAAGCATTCATAAATATACCATAGAATTTAATAGTATCTAAACATGAAATGATGGAATTTAAGATGTAGAACGGAAAAATGTCTAGTTCATGATCGATGACGCGTGTGTGATTAAACAAAGATGGAGTTATTTGACTTCATTTCGAAGATCAAAACCCTAAAAATTTGAAGTTCAGTTCTTCTATATAAAAATGAAATTAAGTTTGATGTATAATTAATGATATTCACTTATATTTTAAGATTAGGCCCCATCTTTAATTGTATGGTAATAAACTTATATGGTCGAAAACAATAAATCTTGTTGAAAATTTGAATGTTAGGCCCCAGCTTTAGAGCTGTCGTTGATGCCTTTTTTTCTAGTAGTGTTTAGTGTTCTACAGTAACAGTCAATCGTTTTGTGTTGATTTTTTTTTATCTAAATGTTGTGAAATTAGAAGACTCTTTTAGGATTTTTTTTTGGTTTCCAATTCCATATACAAAAGATTCAAACCTTTTTTTCTCTTGCACAATTTGTGATAGTAATTAATAACAATTAGCAACTAGTCGGATCGTATAGCGGGGTTGAATATTAATAAAAAACAATTAGCAACTAAATAATCATAGAAATTAAGCTATAAATAGTGAGTCAATGCAATTAGCATTAATTCTGCTATTCTTATGGAGAGAAATGGAAGAGCTGATGAAAATCTTGACGGTTTGGATTAAAATTTTAATGTTTATTAATTGAAATTACTCTAATATTCTTAATTAATTAGGGTTGTTAAGACAAAAGGAAGAAGATGATAATGATTTCTCCCTGTGAATAAACTCGTTTTTTTCTCGTAATACAAACTAAACAGCTAGCAGAATCAACATGAAGAAGAAGACCCATTAGTAGAAGCTTGGAGATGAACAGCACGGCCGCAATCACCGCCACCACCACCACCACCAACATTTTCTTGATCACTACTGTTACTGTTATCTCTTCTATCAACATTGTTGTTTTCCTCATGGAAGTCGCTGCAAATTACAGGTCTACCATTGTTAAAGATGTTGATGCTTTTGCTGCTGATCCCCACTGTGGCTGTGGAGGTGGTGATGGCAGCGGCAGTGGCGGTGGTGGTGGGAGAAGTTATGTCTTTTTCTTTCTTTCCAAAAGTGTTTTTGTTGTTATGCATCCAAACTTTAAATATTCCTCTTCTAATTCCAAGCTCATTGCAGAATTCCGCCACCAATTTATCATCACATCGCTGCATCTTCCACCCCACTTTCTCTGCAAAAAGAGACATCTTTTCTTTCTGATCTTGGCTGAATTTCGTCCGGAACCTCTTTCTCCCATTTGGGTTTTCGATCTTGATCGCCGCCGGCGTCCCCGGTATCGCCACCGTGTGGTTTTGGTCAGCAGCTGTGCTGAGGGACAACAGCACGTGCGGTGCGTATGCGTAATTTGTCGGTTGAGGTGGAGAGTTTGGGGAGGTTGAGATCCCACATGGGTGCTGGTGGTGGAACTCGATGAAATGAGTTTTCGTGGTGGCGAAATGGTCATCGATGGGATCGCGGCGGTGGAAGTTCCGGTGGCAACCACAAGCAGCGCATTTTAGAGAGATGGGTTCTGATACCGGTGAAGGCATGAACTCTCCGCAGCCGTCCACGGCATGGCTGCCGATGGTGGCGGCATGATTCTTAAGACATTCTTTGTACGCCACCACCGTAGGCGGTGGCTGGCGGTGGTGTTTCTTTCCATTAGAGAAGGACGATAAAGGGTTGCCTAGTTGAGAATGAAGTAGGGTTTCAGTCTCAGAATCTGGGGTGTCGGCGCCGGCGCCGGAGGTGTTGGTGGTGATGTGTTTTAGGTCCATTTTGTGATGGCCCAAAAATAAGAAATCTTGAAAATGGAAGGGGGGGTTTGTTGAGGCGAAGGTGAATTGGTGATTATGATTTGAAATCTTAAGGGTGTGTTCTTGAGACTTTATATGCTCATAATGAAAAGCAGTTTGGATAATAGAAGGGGTGTTGGGGAATTATACACCTTTTTTCTCTCCCATACATGCTTCCTAAACTTTTTTGCTTTTAGGAATTTATTACATATACCTCACATACAATATATTCCAATCCAAGGATCTATAAATATGTATTTAATACATGAATATATATACATAATAATATTTTTTAATACATGAATATATACATACATACATATGGAAGGTTGATATGAGTCGTATATATATTCATCAATGTATTTAACAATGTATTCAAATGTGTGTATATATATATATTTATACTATCTTATAAAGCAAATTTAGCAAAAGTCTTAAAGTCTTAAAATACTAAATGATCAAAATACTCTTTTATACACTTTTTCACCCCCTCCTCTCCTCGCATGCACTCACCATCTCACAACCGATTTTTTTTGAATTATAATTTTAAATTTACACTTTATATCCTTATAATTAGTTAATTAATTTACTTTACGTCATTTACTTTTAAATGTTTCATTTTAAACCTTTATCGAATTAATATACATAATCGTATATCAATTAAAACATGTTTAAAAAATACATTTTTATTTTAACAAATTACACCATTATAATCGTCTATTTAATACATTCGAAATGAGTCCAATATTGAATAGTTTTTACTTAATTATATTATTATATATTATATATAATGTGAAAAAATATTTTTAATATTTACGATTTATATTATAGTTATTTATATATATATATATATACTATATATTTTGGAGTTAGGCTGTTCAAATTGCACTATATAATATGTTCTGAATTAATATGTTCTTGGTTTTTTTGAAATATATATATATATATATATACATGTATTAATTCAACCTTAATCTGAGTTTCTGGACAAGAAAGAGGGTAAACAGTTGAAATTTCATTCTAAAACTTTTTTTTTTGTCTTTTCATGGCTTAATATCTGTTAAATTTGTAGTTTTCTTTATTGGTTTTGAGTGTTTATCTTAAAACTCAAGTTTCTTGGTTCTTTGCTCTTGGTGTAAATCGAACACATTTGTGGAGTCGTTTAAATATATTGGATTTTAAATTGTCATACAATTTTTTTCATCGATAGTCTGTAATTGGAACCATAACTCTTATTTATTCAAATTGTATTAATATGTAAAGACTAAGTGTAACATATATCATCGTTAATTCTTATATTATAAAACCAGTGGAACTTCAAAATCGTTAAAATTCATGGCTCCCGCCGCATTGCGCGGGTACACAACTAGTATATATATATATATATATATATATTCATTAATGTATATACTTACTAAAATTTATACTATATATTCATCAATATATGTAGATGAATGATCATGTGAGAATATGAGTTAAAATGAGAAGTTTAAGAAGTTATTTGGATCCTTGATCACTTTTTAATGTCAAACCAACACATGAATTGTGTTTTAGAAGAGAATTGATTCGGTATATCTTATTAGTGTTGATCTAGTGCATCTATTTATTAGGATTGATCCAAAAGTACAGATCTGTTTTTACCATTCTCACCGTAACTTTTATCTCACTGGAACTCAACCTTAAATATATATATATATATATATATATATATATACATATACATATATATTGGTTCTTATGGTTCTTATTTGATCTTTTCCCTGTAAATATGTATAGGGTCAGTGCAAATGGAAGCAATTTTCTAAGATGAAAACGTGGAAACACGAAAACAGATGAAAAATATACGAGTTTGAAAGTCAAGTTAAAATAGCGTAAAATGTTTGTTTTTAATTGGTATAATTTGTTTTGGCTCTAATTTTAATTATATTTTCCCTATTTTTTTATAAAACACAGAGGGGGTTTAATTTAAATATAAAACTTTAACCACCTTCTTAATCAAATTTATCTATACTATATTATAAAGCATTTGGCTAAAACTCTTAAAAACTCTTAAAATTCTTAAATCCGTTCATCCCTAAACGATTTCATCCCTATCCGATTTCATCCCATATCTGAATTCGTGTAACTAACTGCAGATAAATACAATCAAATACAAGATAAACATCTAATTTTAAATATAAAAAATCTAAAATATAATTAGTATAATCATTAAATTTTAACATAATACTTAATTATTATCTTTATAAAATTTATAATATTAAA